CAAACATTTGCATGATTCGAATGAACAATAAGAGAAATAAAACAATCATTAGCGATTTTTTTAAAAATGACTTTAAGCCTTCAGCCATTCCTCTTGCCACAATTTCAAAGATCATTTTTAAAAGACCTATCTAAATCTCTAAAGATAACGGTAACGTGTGTCTCGCTCGATGATTGTAGAGGCCATCGGGGGCGCAACGGAAAGGCACTTTACTTTGGCTTCCGGATTAAAAAGAGCATTGAGTATTGAATATCTTATAAAAACACTAATTAAATGCACAATTAACGTAGATACTTCATCAAACAACATTACGAAGGTCAAAGGTTCGACAGCTTTCCACTCGTGGGACCAGATCCCGGGGGGGGGGGGGGGGGGGTACTCCCTATATTTGCTATACGGGTACGTGAAGCCAAACAGGGTATGGTTTTCAGCGATTCTACTCTGGAACAGGATATATAAAATCGCGCTCGCTCTGGAACAGGGTATATGAAATCACGCTCTCTCCTCTCTGGAACAGGGTATCCATTTTCGCAATACCGGAATAGGGTATGAGTTTTCAGCGATCTTGCTCTGGAACAGGGTATGAGTTTCAGCGATTTTACTCTAGAACAGGGTCAGGGTTCAGTGGGCTCAGCGGCACATCCCTACCCTAAACGGGCAAGAGTACCCCCCTCCCCCCWCCGGGGACCAGATAGACTGGCTTTTTCACTTTGCTGTTGTTCAGCTTAAAGAGAAAAAATCTGTTTGTAACATACTAGCTGTATRACATTCAGACAACAAACAGAAGCCTTCTTACATCCCCAGACCGTTTTCAAAGACTCGGAAAAATAAATTTGTGATTTAAAAAAACTGTCGAGAACTGTCGACGAGTGTGGCAGTTTTCGATTAGTTTTAATTACTTCGGGTGTCTAGTCTATTCATGGTTCATTAAATGCGTCAAAATAAACCTTTTAGATATCTGATATATCTGCTAGAAAACCACGCAATACTTATACGCTAAAAGGTAGAAAAACAAATTCTTAAACTGGGATAATTAGTTTTTTATTAATGCTTCAGGTAATTCTGCAAAATACAGCTAAAAAACTGGTACCGATTATAGTATATCTAATCCGGGTAGCAAAAGATTATGTTTTGAAAACGGTTGTTTTGACTTCAAGAAAGACAAGCGTACACAGAACCACTTACCTTCGATGCTTGAGCTGTTAGATATGAATGGCTGGCAAAAGCAGAGTATAAATAATACAAAGTACCATGGCCATCCAACAGTGTTTAGATCCATGCCTGCTGTTAGACTTACTGCGACAATAACTGCGCAGATCTTAGTAACAAATGGAGCCTAAGCTTATCTTTGGATATCAGTTATCGGAAAAAAAACACTGAAAGCTATCATATTTTCACCACGAAAACCGAACGAGACAGTAATAAAAGTGACCTTTTTGACCAGCTGAAGGAGGATCAAGTTGGTAGCTGGACACGCGTTCTCGGAGAATGGCGTGAATGCCATCTTACTCTATATCATTCACCTAGAGCTTTTAATTCGCACGTGTATATTTTTTACCGAAGAAATAGAAAACGCGCGCGCGTGCTGTGAGCAGTTATAAAGTGCGCGCGCGTGCTGTGTGCTCTCATAAAGCACGCGCTCCCAACCAATCAGAACGCGAGATTTAGAGCAGCTATTTTATAAATGCATTTATTTTATTTCTTTCACTTCGAAGCTCCTTGGTTTATTTATTAAACAGGTTTATTTGAACTCAGAGGAGTGTGTATTACTGAGACATGCATACATAGCAATGCTACTGAAAATCCTTTTAATGCACAAACCCACACTGAACAGAGTGAAGTGATTGGCAAAGCTGCAGAGTAAATTCAGCAAAGAAACAACAGTAATATTACAAATTTAAATGCCAACAATAGCAATTGTATTCCTTTGAGAAGTTGCTGTTTCCCATCATTATGCAAACAAAACCAAAAATCTTGGCTGGGTCTCCAAGTGATTATACTTCGTCAAATACACTATGGTAGCCCGAGTTCACGCCACGAAGGGCGTCTAGGTTTAATATTAGAGAGTTTTAGATTGACTTTTTTTCCTCCCCGCAAACGGCAAACGTGACCACGTTTTCATCGTTTTTCTGTATTTTACTTTACCTTTTACAAACCTTCTCACCAAGAGCAAATACTCTTTTGTTTTTCTACTGCTTGGACTTTTTTGCGATTCTTTTTCAGTAATTTAAAAGAAATTTTTACTGGTCAACTGACGTTTCACGTTTGCCGTGAACGTATAAATCTAAAACTCTCTAGTATCTGCCCGCGCTCGCCGTCCGGTATCCTTTGCCGCCAAAACAACAAAACAAAACGATTACAAAAACAAGTAAAAGAAATACGGGAAAAAATAAATAAGTTACTTACCGTCCTAAAGTCGGTCCGGATTGGGGGAAAACTGTGCCAGAGGTCTTGAAAACGGACCTCGGGCTAACAGCCTCGGTCCGTATATTCAAGACCTCGGGCACAGTTTTTCCCTATCCKAACCTCCTGGCCGGTAAATAACATATATAGTCAATGTCATTAACGTTGTCCACCGAAAAAAGACATTTACACATTTAGACATTYAGACTAAAGTGACCCTGAACTTTAAATGTAAAATTCAACTCGTGAATCGAAAATCCAGGATGSCCCGACCATTTWGTGGGGATTTAAGATGGAGAATTGTATTTCAGCGTTTGTTTTATGCCAGAACGTTCGAGGAAACACGTGATATTTCTTTTAGTCTAAATGTGTAAATGTCTTTTTTCGGTCGACAATGTTAATGACATTGACTGTATTTATGCGTCACAAGTAAAATCACTCTAGTAATCAGATTACTCGCATRCTTTTGGTGAAACAGTTCTGTTTATTGGCATAACACAGCACTATTTCCATGTATATACACAGAACCGTGGCAAGTGGCCTCACTGAACCAATAAGATTTACTATTTTAAGTTGCCTTGCTTTGTTACGGCAAGGAAGGGGGGGGGGGGGGGGGGGGGGGGAGGAATGGAAATCATTTCTCTTCCTGCTAATGTAGCATTCATTGCTAAAAGAGTAGTTAGAAAACCATATA